ATGTAGGGAAAGTATCATATTTAAATATTTATTTTATATTTAAATATTTATTTTCGATGTACATTTTAAATATACAATTAATTAGGATGTAATAGTGAAATATAATTTGAACCGTAAATATACCCAAATTATAAAATAATTTTTAAAGTAATTATTCTCTCAAGAAAATGATTATATATGTGATTATATACACAATTAAATTCTTGTTTGTCATTTTAAACGAACATTAAACGAAAGAAATAAATAATCTCAAAAATTTTATTTAAGATAAGCTTGTACATATGCTATGTATATATCTCATAAATAGAAATTTAATTTCTTACAGAAATAATGTAAAGAATGTAAATAAGAATATTTAAATAAGGGTATAGCAGTGTATAAGGACGTAGCGCGCTGTTATTTACATTTGGTGATCTCTTGTCATTCACGTAGTGAGACGGGAAAGTAGTGGCACGAGCTGCTCCGTGCGTGTCGCATTTTCTGTCGGAATATAATCGTGAGAATATTAAAAGATATTAAAAGATATTAAATATCATTCTCTCGAATAATCAGAGCTTGTAAGTCAACGCGATAATTAATTTTCGCGTCTTACGTGATTTATAATATGACATAATCGATATCGCGTGGTTTAAAAGAGTTCAGATATTATTTTTAGATTTCGGATTAATTAACAAAATACAGTAAAAATTAACTCGCGCAATATTACGTTTATGTGTATTGGTGATTTATTATTGAAACGTGTATTTTGTATAATTTAATCAATCGAAATTTACTACGTAATTTGGCAAAGTGATCTGGCTACGCGATTTGGTAAAGTATATTATATTCTTTTATATATTGTATTCTATGGATATTGATATTTAATTTTATCTTGCATTATATATTTGTTCTTTTGCATCATAACGAGAGAAACTAATTACCATAAACATGTATGTACGCATATTGATTAACAGAAATAACATGTCAATATGATCATTTTTATGCCAAATGGATAGCTTTTTACAATCATGATTTTTTATCCTCTCTGAGACGCAATAATTGTAAATAATAATTATTTGCGCTGGTTAAGAATTTTTGTAATAGAAATGCGCGTCTCATATATACGCCAAGAATTTATATAAAGTGCATCGCACGAGATTATCATATTCTGATAATTAATGCACGCGTCTAATTAATTGTGTTTTCGCGAATATGTGTGTGAGTGTCACGTGAGTGTCATGAAGAAGCAGCCAAGAATGAAAACGAGAGGGAAAGAAAATCCAGGAAGATCGATGAACATGATGAAGCAATCATGAGGTAAATGTTTCTTTGCAATTTGCACAATATTAGAAATATAATTTTAATGATTTATGACAAATTCATTTTTCTCATTACGTTATTTATTGATCAAATGAATTTAAACAAAATTTATGATTGATCAATGTCAAATTCTTCTGCCGAAAATTTTTGCTTGAAAATAAAAAATCGTGGAAATACATTTATATTACTTAATTTTTCGAGAACTTTATTATTGTTATATTTTGTTTCACTTATTTTTCGACATTCTGTGTAATAAAAAATCAGCTTACATGTGTCAATATTTTTATTTTATACATATGTACTATTTTTTTGCTCGTGTTACAGTTTATAATAGTATGATCTATATATATATGTATAATTTGAATGTTAATTACATATTAATTAAATACATTTTAATGCCTATTAAAATTCAATCTTGTCTAATTATTACAAGTGTTTTTAATTTTATTTTACTGTATTTTATTTTATTCCGATTTATATTATACCTAATATTTTAAAAATCATCTATTAAATTTGTATCATATTGATTTATTTTAAGCTTTTAAATTTTTTATTAAAATAGGAATCATATATATTTTTAACACAGTTAATACTCTCAAAGAAACCATTGTCTGAAAAAATAATAAAATGCTATTAGTTCGCGGGGAACGCAATATGATTTACGCTAAGTTCTCTGTCATTTTGATATCACGCTGCCGCGGGATTATAAATTTCTGCTCTTTAAATCTCTCTTTTTCTCTCATATATGTACAAAAACATCAGCAAAAGTAACGAATGACATGATACTTTGCAAAACGTCTGTTAAAACGTTTGAATAAATCGTTGACGACGGGTCCTTGTTGTATACGAGCGACTACTTGCCGCCGTTTGCCACTTGGCAGTTTAGCACGTGGAACCGACAGTTAAAGAGGACTTTTCTCGAGTTGATCCACCGACTCACGCATTCCATTTGCCGTCTGAAAATAGAAACGCTCCATCAGCTCCTGTAGATCGTTTCGCAGCGTGCTGTAATACGTCATGCTTAGTCGCGGATTAGAAAAAACGCGTCAATGCAACTGGCTATTACATCGATGGCCAATACAAACCTCTATAATATATGAATTTACGTATCGAGAAAGCTGCGACTATTATATGCAATGTAATTAAATGTAAATATACATGGCACACGCGGTTATTCGCTTATTTCAATTTTAATCTGTGCCATAGGAATGACGCAAATCGAATGACGCAACGGAATGCACGCGTAATTCTTTGGATTACCTGTGGAAGATATGAAAAGGATATTATTCTATTGATTTATCGATTAAAATCTCACACTTAACACGTTTCAAATAGAAATTTCATGGAATGATATTTAAAATAATCAGTAAAACAAATTTTTAGTGAGTTTAACTTTGAAAAGATTAAGTTTCACAATATTATTTTTAAAAAAATTTAAAAATATGTTTATATAAATTATAATTTTTTAATATATATTTGGTACATATATTAAATATAAATAATTATATATATTTAAATATAAAAATCTGATATTCTAATATTTTAATCTCACACATAATTAACAGATAAAATAATAAACAGCTGACATAAAATAATGTTTAGAAAATTCTTTAAAAAATAATCCTTATATACTATATATTTTAAGAGCAATTATATCAAACATACACAAGCACAACAGCATTTATTTCTCTTCTTTCGCTGTTTGCCGATAGAGCACCGTCTAGACATTAGAAATTTAGATCGCATTCAAAGCATTTTCTGAGTTTCACGGCAGAATTTATAACATATTTAATGACCGGTGCCGCGATAGAATAGCGAGATAATGTCGCGCGATTCGCGGTTGGCGAATATGCACGAGCTCTTATGCACATGTAACCCTCGTCGAAGATTTATGCACGGAACATGTCGTTGCCACCATTGTGCGAGCATTAGGTAACACGGTTGGTGCTTCATCATTGCCGATATAAAGGAAATAAAAAAGAATAATCTGGGGGAGAGACCACAACTGGAAGCTGTGTTTGCTCTTTTCGTTTTCACTGCAATGAAAATAGGAGAACAATGAGAACGGTATAAAATTAAATCACACAAAAAAATTGAATAAAAATTATTGTACGAAGAACTCCCCAGCTATTGGCTGGACAGATGTTTCATCAATAGGCTCTCCTTTCTTTGCAACTTTAGATTAGTGTTCGTTTTATATAATTTTAGATCCATGTTTTCCAATTCTCTAATACAGTCGATTAAATACAGTTAATACAGTTAACACAGTTGTAGGCTATGGTGATTTTTACATCAAATTATGATCAATCTATCGCAGTAATTTTGGAGAAACGACCTTTCATAATGTTATCAATCAAGCGGGTCCACAGAGACATGAAGTAGTATAATCTCGACTTGCGAGGCAATCGAGCGGGGAATGAGGTCACACTTCCGATAATTCTAGCAACCGGATCGGCCTGATCCACTCGATCGCTTGCGAGAATGCGGCCGGCATCTAAATAAGACACAATCGTACCGAACAATCGCATACCGTCTCGCTGCTGCATGTCGTGTAAGACTTTCTAGCGTCGTCTTGACCGGCCTTGCTAGGACTACCGGCAATCGAATCGACCAGCCAGTCAGCCAACCGAACGGCCTCTCAGCTCCCGTTCAACAACCTGTTGCTTTCTGGCGCCACGTACCTTCTCGTTTACCTGGAATGTCAATCTTGAACGTACTTTTGCCAGAAAGATAGATTTCTTTACAATGCATAGAAATTTCACACAAATTTCGCAAAATGAGAAAAGAGTCTAACTTTGTTACATTTCAAAATTAGAATTATCTTGCGTGCGTTTTTTTAAGATTTTCGATGATCGCCTCTTATTGACCTCTCTTTCGGGAAATGAAATTTATGGCATCGCTCAGCATTCATTTTTATTTTTTTAAATTTCGCGATGATAAAGTATTTTTCCTTAAAGAGAAAAGTTTATTTGTGAAATTGAACAGACCGAGCAAGTTATTACTATTTATTAATACAAATTATTTGCATTCCTTGCAATTACAAAAAGCATTTAATATTTTTATTGAATCATGTCTGATAATGAATTATCGAGTGAAGTAATCCCTAACATAATCCTCAAGAACTTACCTTTTTAAAAAAAGATAAAAAAAGGTCGCCAAGTTCATGCACTAATTGTATCCAACTGTCATATTGTCTACAAAAGTAGTGATATAACAAAATTGCGCCAACTAAGAATAAAAATTTGTACAAGATAAATAGAAGTACAAGGAAGAAAACTTGTACAAGTTAAATAGAAATATTTTAATTGAAAACATTGTTATACAAAACAGTTGTTTTAATTTTCAAAAATAATAGTATTAAAAAATTAAAAATTTATTTAAAAATTGGAAACTGAAAATTAATATAAAACAAGAAAGTAAAAAAATTTTAATTAAATTATTTAATTATTTAATACACGTTCAATCAATTTTTAAAATCTTTTAAAATCTTAGATTTTGTCTGATTTAAAAAAAAATTTATTATAAACTTTGAAATTATACTATTGAAATTGTAATATAATTTAATAGGGAATATGAAATAAGACTTATATTTACAAAGTACATATTTATAACTTACACAATACCAATGTTTCAATGTTTCAATGTTTTGGTATCAATGTTTTGATATTTCAGTGACCTCTCGAAGTGAGAACGTGGTAATTGTACAGATATATTTCTAACAGTGTAGAAATAATACGTTAATTGCTGGTAACTATTACAGAGGATTATTTCTTGATTGTCATATAATTTTATCGTACTGGGTGAGTTATTAGCAAAATGAAACGTAATATATAAACATATATTTCTTTTTTAACATAAATAAATTGTACATTGCAATATTATAATTGCAATATTATATGTCAAAAATATTAAATTCAAAAAAATAACATAAGGAGTTTTTTTAAAGTTCAAAATTATATTTTATTTCTATGTAAATATTAGACTTACTATACGCAGTATATATATGTGGAAATTTTAGAAACGTTTAGTTATATATTTTTTCCGTAAAGTAGTTATAATAAATATATTCTTCAAAATTATATTAAATATGATTATATTGAGCGGACGAATTAATTTTCATCATTAAAAAAATATATATCATAAAAAGTATGCAGAAAATATTCGTCGATATTCAATTTAACTTATTTATGTAAAGGATGAGATATTTAAAAAAATTTAATAAATTTAATAATTTAATTTCTGAGATTTATTTTCAGTTGTTTGTTTGTCTAGTATATTCTCCTTAAAAAAATACAAAAGCAGACAATATGTGAAATATATTCGAACGAAAATATTTGAACAATTTTCCGCATGAAAATTTAAAGCTTAATTAAATGTTTGAAACTTAAAAATTAAAGTTACATACGAATTTTCAAAGCGATTTTGATATACATATATATATGTATATATATATATATATATATATATATATATATATATATTTATGTCTGTGTGTATATTAAGATTATATATAATTGTTCTGTTTTGTCTAATAATTACGCGATGCATACATTTACGTGCAGTATTTTGTTTGTATTTGGCTTTAACTAATAAAGAAAATAATTTTATAGGTACGTAAAAATTAGCATGGCACTTTTAGAATTATTAATAAGAACCAGTATGATTATCACTGCGATGGCTGCCTTAAATGAAAATTGGATAGCTGAAATACAAACCGCAGTTAATTATTATTTATCGGATAATGTAAAACCAACACATTATGACATCCAATTGATATTACCTATCGAAGAAAATGTATACAGTGGTGAATCAATGATCAGCATCGAGATTTATGAACAAACGCGACATATAGAATTGCATTTAGTAAATCTGGTTGTTACCAAAGTCGTATTGATTAACAAAAATCTACAGATATTTAAGAAGAATATAGAAAAATTAGGTGATAAACCAATAAAATATTTCTATTATCATCAGACAAATATTTTCAGCATGTACTTTGGCAATGAAATATTACCTGGGAATTATACTTTAAGCATGAAATTCCTTGGTCAAGCAACTAAGAATACCGAAGGCCTCTTTAGAACTTCTTACAAAAATAAAAAAGGAAACACAATGTAAGTAAATGTTAAGAATTAAGAACACTTTTACAGTTACATAAACATTATTCATATATATATATATATATATATATATATATATATATATATATATATATAATTATTTTCTTCTATTCTTCATAAATTATTTCCATTACCATTATCATCATTAAATCTATTGTGTAAAACTTAATGAAATATCACTATCACTAATACATATAATAACAATCAGCAATAACATGCTCAGGGCCGTCTTAAGCATTAATGCCACCCGTGTGCCAACAAATAATTGCTACCCCTTTTTTATTGGATTGGACAAGGCAGGAAAAAATTATTTCTATGGAGTCAATAAATAGCAATTTTATAGAATTTTAAGCATTTATTCAAATAAGTAAATAAAATAAATAATGAGAAAATCATAATATATATATGTATTATATATATATATATATTATATATATATATATATATATATATATCATAATATATATATGTATTATATATATATATATATATATTATATATATATATATATATATATATATATATATATATATATATAGGTATATGACTATTACTACTATAAAAGTGAGAAAAACAAACATAATTGAACTTATCAATTTAAATATTGAAATCAATATTTACCTTTCTGATTTTTTAGTAGCAAATTCTTTAATAATGTTTTTTATATTTAAGCTTTCGAATATTTCATTCTCTATACTTTAAATAGTTAAAGAATTAAGTTTTTCTGGCACATGGAAGATCTCAGATAACTTTTTATTAGTTTAAGCTTAGAAAAAGATCTTTCTCCTGCAGCTACTGTTACAGGTAGGGTCAGTAAAATTCTTAAAGATACTGTTAAATTTGGAAATGTTGTGGTTAATTAATTTTTAACATAAATTGCAATACATCGGAAGTATTAAGTTCATCTTCAAAAAAAATTGAAACATTTTCGATTTCCGTATCAAGTTCTATCGCATCAATATCACACTCTTTGAATGAAGGATCGCTCACTTTTATTTGTAGTCCATGCAAAATTCGTTCCTTATATTCTGCCGCCCGTGTGCAATGCACACTTTGCACACGCGGTTAAGACGGCCCTGAGCATGTTAAATATTACAATAAGTACGAACAAAAATGAGCAATAAGAATCAATCGCTAGATGAAAAATGATATATTTCCTAATGATTCATATACATAAATAATTTCCCAAAAATTCGTATATATTTTTCTATATATTTATATGTAATTACATTTTTTTCTATTTAATAATTAAACGGGTCAATATGTCAATTAAATGAAATTTGTTTTTATCATACTTCTATTAAGCTGAGAATAATGATAATTTTAATATTTAAAGCATGTTTCTTGCCCATTGACAGGTGGTTATTCGCAACATATCTACAGACAACTGGGGCACGATATTTATTTCCATGTTGGGATGAACCGAAATTAAAGGCCGAATTTACAATTTCTGTAAAACACCCTAAAAAGTACAAAGCTTTGTCGAATATGCCAATACAAAACGTACATAATGTTGAAAATAACATGGTGTGGACATATTTTAATACCACTCCTTCAATATCTCCTTATCTCATAGGGATTGCAATAATCGATTTTAAAGATGATGTCAGTCTTAATAATGATATTATTAATAATATTCTTTTCGATGAATTGAATATAAAAGTATGGTTCAGAGAGAAAATGCATTATAACTCAACTGCATACAACATATTTCACTATTCCGCTGAATTTATGAATTTTTGGCTTATGTATAATTTCAAGTTAATTCCTAAAGTAGATTATGTTGCAATTCCGGATTTCCCAGAGAAAGCTGTAGCAACTTGGGGACTTGTCTTTTACAGGTAATATACAGAGAAGTATAAAAATCTCTCTCTCTCTCTCTCTCTTTATATAGAGATAGAAAATTATTTTTATATTCTACATTTCAAAACTTTCAAATGTGAATTCGCATCCATGACACATGTTTACATTTAAATCAATCGCAATAATATATGTAATAGGTATTTCTATTTTTATATCAAATTAAAAATTAAAAAATTATTTGTAAAATAATATATAAATATATTATTTTTTTCATTAAATTTTATATACATGATATTAAAAGAATGCAAATTTAGTTTCTATGCTCTATTATCATATAAATGTCCGTAAAATTTGTTTTATCGCGTTAATATTTGGAAATATATATTTTGCTTTTTTTTAATAAATTAATATTTTACTTTTTTTAAGTAAATGTGTTTTGTTATTTAATATAGAATATTTCATGATTTTAATGCTAAATTATTATGCAAATTTATAAATGGTTAATGAGAATGTCAAGACATCTATAATTTCCAAGTTATAAACAATTTAGCAAAAAGATTTGTTGAAAACTAAACTTTGTGCAGTAAACACTAAATTTAAAAATTAAATTTAATAATTAGAGATTTGGCTCAAGTAATCAAAAAATTAAAAAGAAAATGACATAAGAGCCAACGCGCGGTAATTGAAGCGCAGAGGAGCAACACTTCTTTCTTTTTTCAATATTAGTTTATTAAAAAACGCATTATAATAACAAAAAGCGAACGAACAAATTAAATTTTTCTCAAGTAAAATTCCTTTTGATAGAATTTTAATTTTATTTTAATTAAAAAATATGTAACGATAAAAATTGGGATTTGGAAATTTATAAAAAAATAATTTTTCTTGACAATCACTAAGAAAAAATTAATTCTAAATTGAAGATATGTTTTGAAAAGAATATTTGATAATTTTTGGGACATCTATATATTGCTTGCGTGCGTTTGTACATGTATAAAATGCAATAATTAAAATATACACAGTATTTTATTCTAATTTTTGATTATGTATTATTTTCTAAGAAATTGTTTATTATTATTATTTGTATTTATTATTTAAGATAATGCACAAATATTTTTAACTTAAAGAAAAAAGGCTTTTCAATAAACAAAATGTAATTTAAATAAAACAACCAAATAAAAATCATGCGCAAATGGCCGTAAATGAAAATTTCGAATAAAAAAACTCAAGCTATTCATTATATATATTCATTATATATATTCATTAGATATTCATTATATTGATTGGACTTCAGTACAATAATCTATCTAACAAAATAACGAAATAGACAATCAATATAATGTTATGAGGAATGGAAGAAACTTTGTACAAATTTTAATATCTTAAAACCCATTAAATCTTTGAATGTAATGAGAATAACAGATTAATATAAAATTATAATCCATGAAGAAAAAATAGTAGTTGCATTGGAAAATACGTATTTATAAATTTATAAATATAAATATAATTAAATATATTTAAATAAATATAATTAAAAAATATATCTTTTTAATTTATTTAAAAAATACTATTCATACTATTATTTAATTACTATTATTAATGTCTTTTTTAATACAAATTAAAAATAAATGCCAATTACTTACATGATTTAAGTTTTTTCGATGATTAATAATAAAACTAATGTATTCAATAAAATTTTTCAAAATGATTAAATTGTGTATTTAATAGTTTAGAAAAATTATTAATAACAATTTTAAAGATTTTCTAATATTTAGTTAATTAATTAATTAAATATTAATGATTTATAGAGAAGCAGATATTTTCTACGAACCAGACAACATAATGAGCGAATTAAACATGGCGTCTTTAATAGTATATAACATGATAGTTGAATCTCTCAGTGGTCTACCATCTTGGTTAAAGGAAGGATTTGCTACTTTTATTGATGCAGTTATCTGTGATGTTGTTTATTTTATATTCTTAACACTAATTTACTTACATAGTTAAAAAAAATTGTCTGTAACAATCATTATGAAATGAAAAATTCTTAAATTTTTTATATATTTCTATTATTTGTTCCAGTTTATATATTTTATTATTATTTTATTAATATTTTTTTTTATTTATTAGTTGAAGTGTTAATTGGTTTATTTTTAAAATTTTTCATAAATTTCAAAATAAATTTGAAGTATAATTTTAAAGTAAATAGATAATTTAGTATAATTTTTAGATAATTTAGTATAATTTTCAAGTAAAAAGATAATTTTAGTCAAAAAATGACATGCACATTTAAAGTTAAAATAATAAAACAAGAATATAATTATTCCTTTCTTCTTCAAAATCTTATAACAATATTTAATTGCAAAAAATTACATCTATACAATCTATTTTAGACATAATTTGCTAAATTGTATTTTTAAATTTATCAAAAAAAAGATAAAAGATAAATAAAATATAAAATTTTTTCTTAAGAACAAACAATTATTTCAAAAATATGTTAGTAGCAGGAATTTTTTTCGATTAAATATTTATATAATTAAAATATTTTTAACATATTAATATTTTATTTTATACAAATTTTTGTTTTTAGTATTTCTCATCTCATTATCACAAAATGGATTTCTTCGTCGTCCAAAGACAACATGAATCTCTTCGTTTTAATTTTCATCTCAATAAGAATCTTCCACAAATCAACAAGCTTGATATTAATTTATTTCCTGGTTTTCTTCGTTACAATAAAGGTAAATGTTAATTAAACAATATATCATGAATTTTGAAATGTAAATGAAATTTGCCATAGCATAGGATATAAAAAAGGGAGTTTTGTTCAGGGTCGGCAAAAAACTTGTTTTTTTTATTTTAAACAAAAACATTGTTTTTTTTTGTTTAGAATAATGTTTTTTGTTTTATTTGTGTTTTTAAGTAAAGTAAAAAAAAACATGTTTTAAACAAGCAAAAAACACTTAATAGGTTTGATCTGTGTAAATATTTAAATTTTTCGCTAGCGTTAAACTGTAAATAACGTTGCCAAAATTGACAACGCTATTAAAAATATAAATAATAAAATATAAATGATAAGATAGGTATTATTTTAACAGAATATTTATTTTTGGATATTAAATAACAATCAATACAATAAAAATTACTTAGAAGATATTGATTGACTTTACATTTTACATTTTAGCATTTTAAATTAATAGTATAATACATAACTTATAACAGGTAAGTAGTTCTAAAAAAAAGTTCTAGTTAATACTATTTAATATATAATACTTTGGTTCCTTTCCTATTCTTATTAAATAACCTCATACTTAACTCTCAACATAAATTATAAATAAAAGAAAAATAAAAAATCTTAATTCTTCTTTTTAAAAGGATTAATTCTTCTTAATTCTTCTTTTTAAAAGAAGAACTTTTTTTTAGAACTACTGACCTGCTATGAGTTATGTATTATACTATTAATTTAAAATGCTAAAATGTAAAATGTAAAGTCAGTCAATATTTTCTAAGTAATCTTTATTGTATTGATTGTTATTTAATATCCAAAAATAAATATTCTGCTAAAATAATACCTATGTTATCATTTTTATTTTATTATTTATATTTTTATATTTATATGTTACATAAATATAGATAAAAAACTAAAAATATTTAAACAAAAACTTTTTTGCAACATACACATCTATTAGTTTTTGTTTGTTTTTGATTTTATTTACAACTTCTTTTCCAAATGATCATATATTTTATTTGCGATATTTTAAACGGTCCTAAACACAGTAGTTTAAAACAGTTTAAAACAAAAATGTTTAAAACAGTAGACACTGTTTTAAACAAGTTTTAATCAGACAGTTTTAAACGCATTGTTTAAAACATATCAACCCTGGTTTTGTTATACTAATATATATATGTATACATACACATATATACAGGATGTTCGGAAATTCAACCGAAAATTTTCAGAGATTGTCGGGGCATCCACTCTGAAAATTTGTCGATTGAATTTTCGAACACCCTATATATGTATACACATATATAATTCTTCTATATAAAATTAGTTAAATTGATAAAGTTATAAACATAGTAAAATTATATGCTGAATAATAATATTGTTTACATTTAATTGTAGCTTTTTCTATATTGCGTATGCTACATTATTTAGTCACCGATCATGTGTTTCCACTTGGTATGAAGCAATATTTAAAGGAAAAGTAAGTATAATTATTTTATGTATTATTATGTGCCTTTTAATGTGCCTTTTAATGTGTATTGCATCGATAGTCAAACATAATATTAATTTTAGATTACATATGCGTTCTAATATCTTTATTCTCAGAATTCTGTATCGGCTACTCTATTCTATTTTATTAATAAAAGATAGCTATTTTATTTTAGAAAATAAGATTAATTTTAGAATTTTTTTTACATCTAACTATAAATTATTTTATTGTTCATAACAAAATTATTACGTGTGTGTATATATATATATATATATATATATATATATATATATAATTTTATGTGACTTTTAATACAATTAATTACAATATTAAAGAATTTTTAAAAATATTAAATATTTTTAGTTCAATTTTATATAGTTCAGATTCTATATTTCAATTGAAAATATTCTGGACATCTATGCAACATGCTCTTGATGAATTGCATCCAGACAACAATATTATCTTAGTAAGAAAAATGGATGGTTGGACAAAACAAAAAAGTTATCCTATATTAAAACTAAAACGAGAGAACGGTTGTACAAGTATATTACTAGAAAATTTCGATTCAATCGATGGTGAATTGTGGATACCTATGACTTATACTACACAGAATAATCCCAATTTTAGTAAAACTTCGTTTCGTGATGTCAAGTGGCTAAAATTCACTAAAGAAGAGTTATTTACTATTGATGTATCTAAATTTTTCATAGAAGATGGTTGGATTATAATCAATTTACAACAAGCTGGTAAACATTAATTAATAAATTATTTCGAATTATTTTATGTTTATTTCATATAATTGAAATTTTATTTTATTTTATTGTACATTTTTTTGTCATATGCTAATATAAATTTAAAATAATTATGCGTGCATTATTTAATTATTATTAGTAAATGCGTAAAAATTTTATGTGATGTTGTATAAAATGTCATATAAAGTATTTAATGTTATTGCCATTGAAGAATACTGAATTAAATTTCATTTTATATGCGTTATCTAATGATCTAGTGATCTCTAAAATCAATTTAAATTTTAAATATAAAATTTCTTATATAATTTTATTTTACAGAATATTAAACAATGATAAATGTGTAATTCTATAACTAATAACAACAATTCACATTTGAAAGTTTATGTTAAATCCAATAAATTTAAAAAATTTAATGGTGTTCCTCATAATTGCTTTTACTAATATAATTTTAACCATTTTAATATTTTATTATGTATAATAGTAAAATTTATTTGTTATATGGACAGGATACTATCGTGTCAACTATGATACTGAAAACTGGAAAAAAATTGCAAAGTACTTAAATGATATGGAATATACGAATATACATATTCTCAATCGTGCTCAAATCATTGATGATGCGTATCATTTTTTAACGACTGGACAAATTGATTCTTCTCTGTTTTGGGAAATCACGAATTATCTATCCCGAGAGACAAGTTTTATAGCATGGTATCCTATGGTCAAAGCTTTTGAATACATGTCGAGTGTTTTCCCATTATCAAACATAGGAGCATATGATATCAAGGTAGTTATAAATTTCGTTAGCAAGAATTTTACATATAAAATATATTGACTTCTCATATAAATTATTTTTAGATAATCAAAAAGTTAAAAAACATAATGTGTAAATATGTTTTAGTCTAACTGAAAAATTCAACTATATTTTTTATTTATATAATTTTATTTATATAATACAATTATATAATTTTATTTGACTAAAAAATAAAAAAATTTTAGTTATTGCATATTTTATATTATGTTCATTAAACGTTACATATTAATACATATGATTTTTTTTAAATTAAGATTATCTCTGTACTAAATAAATATATATGAGCTTAGATGCCAAAATGATACAAATTCATTCAAACTCGATATTAGTAGATTTGAGATGTAGAATACGATTTATCATCAATTAGTACAACTATAAACTAAAATCATCTGTTTCCAAGATCAATCAAATCTGTATAATTAATTCATTTATATGTATATACTATTTATGTGTGTAAACGCAAAAAACTTTATTTCTGAAATTTTAAATTTTCGACTTTGTATCATTTGATATATCTGAATTGCTTATATTATTAATTTTATTAATTATTGATTTTTTATGTAAAATTATATAAAATTTTCAAATTATCACGTTATGTATACATTTCATTAATGTATATTCTTTTCCGTTATTAAATATTTCTTAAAATTTAATTAATTTAAATAAACACCGTAAAAAATATAATAATTTAAATAAACATAAAAACATATATAAATTTATATAAATATATACATATGAAATATATATATAATGAGGGAATATTTCTTAGGACAACAATTTTGAATTATATTTATTTTATCTGCGAAAAAAATTCTACAAAATGCATTATAACTTGTACACACACACGCGCGCGCGCGCGCGCGCGCACACACACACACACACACACACACACACACACACACACACACACACACACACACACACATGTCTTGTTTTATAAATAAAAAATAATAAAATATTAATATAATTAATGTTATATTATTATTAAATTCATATTTTATTAATACATATTTTATATTAATTCATATTAATTAATGACTTTTAGGAAAAAATTCAGAAAATATTAAACGGAGTTTTGCAAAAGATACCATACGAAAAACTTAATATGTCAACGCATATAGCGCAAGAAATTGCAACGTGGGCATGCATTCTTGATGATTTTGATTGCAAGAAACTAGCAACTTCTAATTTAGAACAATATCTCTCAAATCGTACAAGGAATAAGTAATTTTTCTTATCATTATGATTCTTGAATAGGATGTAACATTTTTCTTATATATTCTATGCGACATGATTCATATGTTATTTGATAAAAAAAAAAAAAAAAAAAAAATATATATATATATATATATATATATATATATATATATAAGATTGCAAATTAAACTTTTATAACAACTTTTTATTTTCTTTTTCAATATAGATTTCTTCCAAGGGAGGAATGGACATATTGTAATGGATTGGCGATGTCGAACAATATTCTTTGGATTAATGTATTTGATATATACCAAGAAGAATTTGATAATAAATATTTGAGATTTTTAGCTTGTTCCGAAAATATTGCTATGATTAAAAAATTTATAATGTTAGTGACAATGAAGAATTCTAATAAAACAATAAAACATAAAGACTGTATGAGCAGTTTGCATTTTATTATTGCCAAGCATGCAAAGAATAGCATAATACTTGATTATATATTTGCAAATTATAACAAAATAATACCAAGGTAATTATATATGTATTTTCTCATAAATGTTTCTGTTAGTAGTATCGTGAACAAATTTTATATTAATTATAAACCTGCTGTTTTATATTAATAGACAAGCTACGGTTGCAATATTAATTGATATTATTAATCATGTGTATTCTACGGAACAATTTGATAAGGTAAATCTTACATAACTATAATAAAACTTAGAAATTATAATAATATTATTATTAGTATCTTTCAATTACATTACTTATCTTTGTATTGTATTATATAAGAGAGAAAGAATATATTTAATATTTTACTATAATTATATCAAAAATAAAAAGTTATGACACAATTATATCAAATATGCAAGAATATTGAAGAAAAACTTTTCTCTCATAATGTGACAAAATAAATTAATTATTCACAGAAAATGTTGACATAATTGTTTTAGATACGTCAATTCGTGAAGGATTATTCAAAAGAACTAATTTCAAATGTGGAACGCAAAATTGAAATACGTTTATCTGAAATAAAAAATCAGATGGATTATCTTGAAATACTTACAAAATAAGGCGTAAATGATCAATTAACTAAATCAATCGAAGCTGATAACTTTATATATTGTTTGTAAACACGTTTATTTTCTATTCAGATATTCACATTATTTTAAATATTTTAATGAAGTTTTCTTATATTGCTTATATAAATTTTTATCTGAATTTATATTTTATCTATTGTCATTCTTTCGTTTTTTTTGTCTATAATATTTTTATATAAGTTTTGATATAATCAATTGTTATATTTTTTCTAGTTATTACTACTATAAGAACAAACATTGACATTTATTATAATTAATATATATTTATAAATGATATTAACATTAATTATTAATTTATTAAAAAAGATTATTATTAATGTTAAACATATAAGTTTATGTGATTAGTATTAATGTTATAATATTAATATTAATATTATATTATATTATATTTAGAATATTATAATCAAATTAATATTAATACTTAATATTATAATATTTAAATATTATATATAATATTAATATTAATGTTTATTTTTTATTTTTGCATATTAATATTTATAATATTTCTATTATTGTTTATACTAATTAAACTTATAGCATTATACAATAGTAATATATATACATAATATTCCTGGATTTATAATAAATTCTGTAACACTATTTGGCGTTGTTATATATATATTGCTAGATATTTCCCTCTCCCTTTCAACATATATATATTTACTTTCTTTTTAAAATAAAATTTCCTTTAAAACGATTACGATATTTAAATAAATAATAATTTTATTTATACTTAGCAGGTGTAACAAAAACACATTTTTAATATAAGTTCTTATTATTAATATCATTATATATTATGTTATTATTACGAAAGGCAAATTATTAAATTGCTATTACGTCATTTGACTATTATTTTTCAATTTACTTTAAATTCAAAGAATAATGAGTTTGTTAGCCATGTTAAAAAACGGAATTTTAATAATTTAAGAAATTTGCACTTAAAGTTTTAACAACTTGAAAACAATGTTTTAAATTGAAAGAGACATTATTAAACTTAAAAATCTATAAAATTTAAAGCTTGCAAAAATTTATGAAATTTGTGATTTTAATATTGCATCAACAGTATGGAAATAAATATTTAATAGTCTTGGATATTTTGTACTAATTCTGTAAAAGCTATACAATGTGTCGATTAGCAAGACGCACAATGTGTACAATTGTAGAAGTTATTTATATAGCGCATAACACATTACATATTTATTATTTCGGTTACCAATATTGATGTATCAGTTTTCGATGACCTCTCAAAGTGATGAGACGGATAAGTGAACAGATATCTTCGATATTAAAAGATTGTGGAGATAATACATTAATCGCTGCTCTAGAGCAGCTAATATTAATTATTACAAGGAACTATTTTTTAATCCTCATACATTATTAGTATATAAGGTGAGTTATTAGAAATAAATAAACACATATTATTCTTTAAAGATAAAAACACTATATAGAATAATTTAAATGATCTTTCTCTTTTTCCTTCGAACCTCGAAGTACAAGTACAATGAACGCATAGTTCCATTTTTTCAAGATTATTCTTTCCAAGTTATTTCAAGATAATTAAACTTTCTTTTATATCTCATTTTATATCTCATTACATATTTCAATCATTTCTCTTTCTTTTACATAGTTTACGTAGTTGAAAAATATTTTCAAACATATATTATAATATTATGTGTCAAACAGATGCTAAAATAAAAAATAATATGAAGATAGTTTCTTGCTAACTGTCTAAAATTAATTAATTAATATTTTAATTGCATTTGATATCCCATGTACAATGTATATGTGTATACATGTTGTAGAAACATTTAATATATGTTTACTTTTTCCTTTATACATATATATCCTTTAATATATGTTTACTTTTCCTTTATTTTTTTAAATAAATACCTATGATAATATTCAAGATTACATTAAGCAGCATAAATTGAACGAACAATTACTGCCAATTTTTATCGTTAATAGAAAAGATTTATATAAGATAAAAAATACGAAGCATTTGTTGATGTACAAATCATGCTTGCATTTTATATATGTGAAATAAGTAATTAACCAAATATTTTAATAACTTTCTTATTTATGTTTTCGACTATTCGTTTATTTAGATATATTTTGTTTGAAAACAGGATAAATAGATTTTGAAAGTAGCGTGTTGATAAATATACATCAATCTATTATATACATGTATCTATATAATTTGAAAATAATCGAATGTTTTCGAATCGAACGTTACAATTTTCGTTATAATTTTCAAAATTTTCGAATCGAACGTTACAATTACGTTATAATTTTCAAAATACCTTATGCGATAATAATATGCTTCAAATTCTTTTATTGCAATAATAACATAAAAATATCAGCATTTTGTACAAAAATATCAAAATTACATGCTCTTTTACTTGTTTTCTTGTTACATAATAATCATGTACTTAAAAGATTTATATTTTACATTTTGTTTGTTCTTCTCTTATCAAAGAAAATAATTTTTCAGATATCGAGAATAAAATTTGGCATGGCACTTCTAAAATTGTTATTAAGTCTTGGCACAATTATTGCCGTGACGGCTTCTCCTATTTTTGAAAATTCGAAGAAAGATTTGTCTACTGCAATTAATAATCGTTTATCGGATAATATAAAACCGATACATTATAATATCGAGTTTATATTAAATATTGAGGAAGGTATATATTATGGTAAATCAAATGTCAGCATCAAGATTAGTAAAGAAACTGAACAAATAGAATTGCACTCAATGAACTTAGCTATTACCAAATCCACATTGATTTATAAAGATGTACAACAGTCAGAGGAGAACAGAAAATGGCCCTATAAACCATCGTATTATTCACATGATAAAAAGACAAACATTTTTATTATTCACTTTAGTGATAAATTATTGGTCGGAAATTATATCTTAAACATGGAATTCTTCGGCGAAGCAACTAATGATACCGAAGGTCTTTTTAGAACTTCCTACAATAATGAAAGAGGATATAAAGTGTACGTAATTGCTAGAACATTAAGAGAACATTTTTATATTTACTTAGTAAATTATTTATTATTATGCTTTACAAACTATTTCTATTACCATTATGTCGAAAACTTTAAATCATTTACTGTGTAAAACTTAACCAGATAACATATAGTCATATACATAATTAACTTTGAATAAGTAAAATTTTTTCTATTTGATTTTTTTATACATGAATTCTTTATATAATAAACAAATTAAAATATCAATTAATACATAGTAATACGTAAGAAAGATACATATATATATTTAAATATTATTTTTTAAGCAGCATTAGTAAATCGTGTTTGCAATCTTTAATTTCTAATATTTTTATGTCAATAATGATTAAAAATTTATTATCTCTAATATTTTATTTATTTTATTATGTGACAGATGGTTGATCGCAACACATCTGCAGACAATTGGAGCACGACAGTTATTTCCATGTTGGGACGAGCCGAAATTTAAAGCTACCTTTACCATTTCCGTAAAGCATCTCATGAAATACACAGCTTTCTCAAATATGCCAGTGAAAAATCTGCAAAAAGTTGAAAGTAATATGATGTGGACACACTTTCGTACTACCCCTATAATGCCTCCTAATTTCATGGCGATAGCGGTGATCGATTTTATAGGTGTGTCTCACAATTGGAATGTCAAAATATGGTATAAAGAGAAAGAAATATACAAAGTATATATTTTTTATTATATATATTTTTTCACTCATTTGCTCACGCTGACTTTGGAAAATGAATGGTGCATGTTGTGTACGAAAATGATCCCAAAGGTAGATTATATTGTAATCCCAGATTTCCCAAAAAAAGTTGCAATAACTTGGGGACTCATCCTATACAGGTAATACATATAATATAACATGTAATATAAAGAAAAGAACAAAATTATTTTAACATTCCAAATTTCATAATTTAGAAATATGTATAGGGGAGACCGGGAACAAAAGTAACATTTTTTATATTTTTAGGTCACTAATTAATTATCGTTAGAGATATAAAAAAAAAGATTATGTGTTAAAAAACTCCATTTATTGCTTTATTATTATACCTATGTTTCAATCTCAAATGATAAATATTTAAAGAGCTACTATAATTTTTCGCAAGTACGTTGATTGTTAATTCTAAATAATAGTGTAAAAATTACATCATAATTATTTATACAAAAGAGATTGGTATCAATTCCATATCACAATTATGGCATACGTAATAAGAATCGCCTTTGATATAGTTATTATGGGACCAGTCCTTATACTTTAAGCATTGAAACATGTTACTTTTGTCCACAGAGTGTCGTGTTACTTTTGTCCAAACACATTTTTTAGAATAAAAGCATCATAATCTAAATATGATGCAAGACTTAGCCAAATTAACTATAAAAACTTATGAATACAATTTAGAAGATTACACCGGCAAATAATTACGTCAATATATACACTTTAATTAGGCATAGATACAAAAAAACTAAAACAAGAAATACTTAGGTGAATAATGCAAATACACTAATTTCATTCCTGCATGTGTAACCGGCGCGATCACCCTACAACAATTAGCTAAAATGGAAGAGAATCGAGGCGTACGCGTTTGACTATATAGTATAAATTATTTAACATATTGTGTAGTTTATTACGAGGCTTGTTACTTTCATGACGTTGTTATTTTTGTCCCCGGTCTCCCCTATTTGTATTAATTTTATTTCATAATTTTAATTCATTTTATATATATTTAATTATATATTTAATTCATTATATTTTAATTCATTATAGTATATAGTATATAATATATAATATATAATAATCAAATAAATTTCTCCATTTTGAAATCAAAAATATTAATTAAAAATTATTGTAGTGAATTATTGTGATATTATTTTAATAATTTATATGTATGTGTGTGTGTGTGTGTGTGTGTGTGTGTGTGTGTGTGTGTGTGTGTGTGTGTGTGTTATGCATGTATATATAATTTTAATACTTATAATCAATATGTATAATTAATGTTTAAAATAATTGTACATATAACAAAAATTTTCAATAAGAATGTCTTAATATTCTTTCTAGAGAAGATTATATTATCGACAAGGAAATATCATTAAACATGACACATGAGAAAATAAAAGTGTTACGCTTTATAGCATATAATATAGCACAGGAATCTTTGAATAATATACCACCTTGGTTAATTGAGGGATTTGCTAGATTGTTAGAAATTCATATCATTGATAAGGTTGTTTCTTTAGCGCTAATTTATTTATGTAAACGAAATATTTTTTATAGTTGTTATGATATAATAAATTCTCAAATTTTTTATATTTTTTTGTACTTTAAAGCTAGAGTGAAAATTTCTAAATTTTTCAGTTTTTTATAAAAATTTTATATATAACTTTATTTTTATAAAATTATAACATTTCACTTAGATATAATTTATTATAACTGTATAAAACATAATTAAATTTTTATTATAACTACATAAAATATAATTAAATTTTTTTCTTAAGTAAAATAATAAGTACACATTGCTATTCAATAACTACTTTTGATCAACATTTGTTTAATATATTAAGATCTCTGTCTTTAGAATTTAGACGAACGAATGATGGATATGCTTGAAGTTCAGATTAAACACGAATCTTTCCGTTTAAACTCTTATTTCAATGAAATCCTCTTAGAAATCAACAATTCTGAAGTTAATTCACTTCCTTCTTCTTTTCGTTATCACAAAGGTAAGATTGAACATGTAATTGAACGATTATTCATAAATTTTGAAACATATGTATCATAAAAAAATTCAAAACATAATTGATGAGTAAAGTTATTTGTTATTTAATATAATAATAATTATGTTCGCTAAAAGCGTATAAGAAAAACAATTTTATATTTATTTTTTATGTATATTACACACACGCACATACAGAAAGAAAAAAAAGAGAGAATATGTGTGTACATATACATATGTAAAAAAGCTAAAAATTTCATTTTTTCGCTGTAAAATCAAATAAATTCACGAATTTTATTAAATAAATTTACTCTAAACATTCTTAATTATATACATTGTGTAACATAAATCGTAGCATTTCCTATATTACGTATGCTGCAATATCTACTCACTGATAAGGTGTTTCGAGAAGGTATTAAAAATTATTTAAATACAAAGTGAGTATTTAATTATTTTATTAATAAATATGTGTCAAAAATTAAATTTAAGTTAAATATATAACTAACTATTATATAAGTGAATTTAACTTTTCTAAAGTAATTTATTACAGTGTACGTGTATTAACTATTAATCTTATATTAAATTTAATAAACAATTAATCTTATATTATAAATTTAATAAACAATTAATCTTATATTAAATTTAGTAAACATAGTACGAATAATCGGACAGCACTTAATGATTTTTGGATTGCTATGCAAAATGCTCTTGATAAATCGAATGAAAATAAGATTAACTTAATAGAAAAAATGGATGATTGGACAAAACAGAAAAATTATCCTGTATTGAAACTAATACAAATTAACGGTTGTACAAATATATTACTGAAAAATTCCGGTTCGATCGATGGTGAATTGTGGATACCTATGACCTATACTACACAGAATAATCCCGATTTTAGTAAGACTTCGTTTCGTGATGTCGAGTGGCAAAAATTCAGTCGCAAAAAAGAGTTATTTTCTAATAATGTATCTAAACTTTTCAAAGAAGATGGTTGGATTATAATCAATTTACAACAAACTGGTACATTAAGCAATAAATTTATTATACGTGTTATGTTTATTTCACATAATTAAAACTTTATTTTATTATATAATTTTTTTCATTTGTCTCATGTATTAATATAAATTTAAAATAATTATGCGTTATATTAAATACATATAAAAATTAAGTGTTACAGTAAATATGTATAATTTTGTGGTATTGTATAAAATGTTATATATAATATTTGGCGTTATCGCTATTGAACTAACAATGAATTAAATTTCATTTTGCATGCATGATCTAATAATCTAGATCTCTAAAATCAATTTAAATTTCTGTATAAAATTATGTAATTTTATTCTATAAAGAATTAAGCAATGATAAATGTAATTCTAACTACACTAACAGTTTACATTTAAAAAATAAATTTTTATTAAATCTAACGAATTTTAAAAATTTAATAATATATTTCTTGTAATTCTTCTTTCTTTTACTAATATAATTTTGATGTTGCAAATAATTTATTATATATAATAATAAAACTTATTTATCGTGTGACAGGATACTACCGTGTCAATTATGATACTAGCAACTGGAAAAAAATTGCGAAGTACTTAAATTCTATAGAATATACGAAAATACATGTTCTCAATCGTGCGCAAATCATTGATGACGCGTTTTATTTCTTAACGACTAATCAAATATCTCCTTCTGTATTTTGGGAACTCATAAATTATCTAGAACGAGAGACAGATTATGTAGCATGGTATCCTATGATCAAAATTCTTGAACACATGTCTAGTATTTTTCTATTATCAGATCCAGAAATTCATGAGATTAAGGTAATATATTTCAAAGTAATAAATTTCGTAATTAAGAATATCATATATTAAATCATTACATATAAAATACAATGAATTTATATAAAATATTTTTAGATAATTTCTAAAAGGATGATAAAAAGAATTCAGTTTTGTTATTTATTATAATTTCTTTGTAATAATTTTATTTGGCTAAAAGATAGAAAATTTAAAAATGAAAACTTCTCATTATTGCTAACTTTATATGAAAAATTTCTTCATGTGCTGTACAATAATTTATTTTATTTGTAAACTTTATAGATAAAAGCTTCTTATTAATCAATTCTTCATATTATATTCGGCAAATTTTAAAATTATAGAACATGTTTAATAAGTTTCTTTATTACTTATTATATGCATGTTTTTCGAAAATAAGTAAAATTTTGCAAATAGTTCATAAAATGTAAAATATAAATTTGTGAAAGTATTAATATATTATACCGTATTAATATCAGAATTTAACATCTATTATTTACTTTATGAATATTTTTGTGTAAAAACAAAAATTTTGAAATATATTTTATATAACTATACCATAAAATCATAAATTATGTAGCAATTATATTCATATGTGTAAATATTTTTGTAATATAAATAACATATTTGCAGTGAGAGTAAAAATGAGAATTGAAAAAAATTAAAATTACATTTATTTTATTAAGGAAAAAATTTCTAGTAAAGATATATATTTATATATATTTGTGTACATATATCTGTTTTATAACTAACCTCATAAATACAACAAATCATATAATTGTGAAATAATTTTCAGGAAAAATTGAAGGAAATATTCAACAAGGTTCTTGAGAATATAGGATACGAAGAATCATATGAAGAAAATAAAAATTATTTTATTAATTGCCTAAGGCAAGAAATCACAAAATGGGCATGTCTTTTCGATGAATTTAAATGCAAGATAGAAGCAGGTTCTAAACTGCAACAATATCTCGCAAATCATACAGAGAATAAGTAATTTTCCTTATTATGATTTTAATTTTTAATTTTTCTCTTATCTTGAAAGTAACATTTTTTTTTTATTTTATGATTCATATTTGATTAAAATAGATATAAAACTGTAAAAACTACATTTTTATAACAAGAGATCTTACTTTCTTTTTCAATCATAGACTTCTTGCATGGTGGGAAGAATGGACATATTGTAACGGTTTGATGGTACTGGATAATAATGTTTGGCATTATGTATATAATAGTTACGTGATAGACTCTAATGATAAATATTTAAAATTTCTGGCTTGCTCTGAAAGAATCATGACTATTAAAGATTATGGTTCACTAATATTGGAAGAAAATGGACCGATAAAAAATAAATATCGTGCAATTAGTTTTCATTATATTATTGCTAGGCATGCAAAGAATAACAACATATTTAATTATATATTAGCAACTTTTGAGAAAATAACATTAAGGTAATTGTAAATTTTTTTTCCATAAATGTATTTTGCTAAGAATATCGTGAAAATTATATACATGAATTAATTATAAACTTGCTGTTTCGTATTTATAGAGTGCCAATGAGTGCGGTTGCAGTAATAACTAACCTTATAAACCATATATATTCTGAGGAGCAACTTAGAAAGGTAAATTTTCATTATTATCTTGGAAAGGTAAATTTTCATTATTATCTTGGATTTTATGTATTTATCATTGTGTATGCATATAAGCAAGCATACACGCTACGCACTTATATGAATATATTTATGCGTAAATTATGTTAAAAATGAAAAGCTATGATGCATCAGATAGTAATATAATGAAAATTATTCTTTATAATGCAAAAATTAAATTACTTATTCTCACAAAAAATGTAGAAATATAATCTGTTGTATAATATAATCTGTTTTAGATATATCAATTCATTTCAAAAAATTATATGAAACATATGAAATTACATGTTCAAGATAAGATAAAGAGACGTTCGTCAGAAATCACAAATATCTTAAATTATTTTCGAAAGCTTTTTCCAAAAAACATAAGTACATCTGACTAATCATCAGAATCAATGGAACATTCTTTTTATATACTTGTACATATTCATCTATATTTTGGCTAGAGAGTAGAGAAAACTAAACATTACTTATATTTATTTTTAATTTTATCTTCTTAATCTTTTATATTGTTTATTATTTTTTAATTTATATTAATATAATTTTATTTTTATCTGATTTTTTAAATATTACCTTTAACGTAACTAATTTCAATATTTTTGATTATTAATGTTAATAATAAAATAATTATATTAAATTAATATTAATATTAATAATAAATTATATTAAATTAAGTTATATTAATTAACATTTAATAATTTACATTATATTAATTAATAATAGGATATAAATAAAATTTATACTAATTAATAGTGTAAGAAATAAAATAATAATTTTTGTGATACATTTAATATACATTTGTATTTAATATTAACTATTAATTTAAATATTAATATTATCATTAATTTAAATTAGTAAAATTAATATTAAGTCAAAAAATATGTATGTTAGGAGAAGAGTATATTGGGAACGAGGTAGCTCATCTACGAGATAATTCATATATAATAATAAATATATATAATAATAAATTAATATTAATTTGTATTTTAGTATATTATTAATGTTTCTAACATTTATTACTAATAATAGAAATATTAATAATAAATATAAAATTTAATATTGTTAATATTTATTTAATTTAATATTATGTAGTGTGTATATAATATAGTTTAATTATATAATATAATTTAATATGATTTATATTCATAATTTATTTATATATATATATATTAATATATTGAATATAATATTTATTATCATTTAATATTTTGATTTTATATACAATTTGTAATGTATTTGCATCTACTAGATTTTTGTTAAATACTGTGATATTATTTTATATTATTATGTAATATGTCTCAAACAATTTCTCTCTGTAAATACATACGTTATATGTTATTTTCAACAAATTTGTTTATACTAATACTATAATTGCTAAATAAAGAAAATTATTATTGTTCAATGAACAAATGCAATAATTTTTTAATTCTTTGATTTATATAATTTCCATTATTAACAAGAAATATATGTGACAGAAAGAGAAAAAGGAAATAGAATTTCAAAAAATTGAAATAATTCCAATCAAATTTATGCTTAGAATCTCAACTTCCAATGGAATTTGAAATTTTCTAATATCGATTCATCCATATATAATTAAATTACATATTATGTTAGATATATAATAAATATATAATTATATTACATATTATATCTTATGCATCAGCAAAAATATTTTAATGTTAAATAATATTTGAAATAAATGACATATGTGTGTGTGTTCGCGCGTTTTATATTCTAATATTCTTGATAAAAACAATAGGAAATCTATTGTGAGAACAATTTTTTTAATATAAACATATTATTCAAAATTTGTGGAGTGTAAAAATGATAAAACATTTTAACCTTAAAATCGCCAAAGATATCCGATTTTAATGGATAGCGATGGATCTATTTCTCGGATGGAGAAGCTAAGAGTTATTTGTTGTCATTATTTGATACACTTGTTGCTTGTCAGTAAATATAATTACACGATGGACGATTAAATGTAATTAAACTATCGTTATGTCGTTCCCATAATTAATTACACTTCTATCTTGACGACAGAATTTCCATAAGTATTTCTCCATCTGAATTCTTCGCTCACTATTTACGACGCTAAGTTATCATCATCAGTTGTCGTTATATAAGCTTGATCTCTTGTAGAGCTACCATTTATTTCTACCTATTATTTCTTTTATCGTACAGAATAATTGCTTCGTAGAAATTCCTTGATCTGTAGGCACTGCTTTGCATATCATTTAGCTACCCTTCTTCGTCGCTGATCGCCATCGTAAGTTATCATTACCATCTAACCCTTTCTACCCTTTTTCTCATAAAATACCGCGAAAGTCATCACCAACGTCTTTCGAATAGAGAAGCTCGCGAATCTTTCGCTCGTCCGGTTTTTGCGTCGCTCCCGCCATAAAATATACTTTGTCGAGTCACAATGACGACGAAAAATCCTAGCGGGGCTCTATCTCCACTTTACGGGGATCACTCCGCCCTTCTCACGAAGAGAGGCGAAGAGACGTTCCTAGAGCGAGGGATCCGGCGCGTCGGACAATTAAATCTTTTTAATCGCTCCGCGTAATTGCCGCGGATTAGAGATGCCGTCCGTCCGCTGACGGGCTGCGGTCCTTGATTATCGCCGATGGTCAGAGAAAATAATAGTGAGTTAAAGAGAGACCGAGAGACGGGCAAATATCGTGGAGAACGGGGTGGGAGAGGGGAGCAGCAGCCGTTTTCTTGCTCATCGAGAAGCCGCCGGTGGTGGACCGGATCGGCATTCGGCGTCCGAAGTGCGTTTTAACGGAGGGGAACACTTAGAGGAATACGTCTCCCGGTGATTATTGGCCGTGATAATGATCGAGTCGCTGCGAGTTGTCTATGGCGTGATTGCAGGTCGCGCCGTTGATCCTTAGGCCATGCGCGTTGCGAGGGTGGTTATTAAGAGCGACCGGTTCCATCTCGAAGAGGAACGAGGGGGACCGGGCTTGGAAGGGAGCGCGAAGCCCTTCGATTTCGAGATGCATCACTGATGGCGAATCTATGAGAGAAATCGAGAATCAAGAAGAAATCGGAACACTGAAATCGAGAGAATCTGATAGTGAATAATTCAGAATCCAATACAATTAAATTTGGAAGAAATAATCAATACAAGATTTTATTTGGAAGTTTTCCCCCCACAAAATTTTAAAATAGTAGAAGTAAATTGATCGGCTTTATAGGCACATATCTCTGTTTTCTATCTTGTTTCATTTATTCACTTCTTTTTTTTTATGTTAAAATTTTTATTTTTTGACGTCTTTTTTTAAATTCGTTTCTAAAATTAAAAAATTAATTTTTTTGTGATCACATACATGTTTTTAATTTAGATTTTCTTAAATAACACTTGCATTAAAAAATTTATATTTTCTTACAAATAGCGAGTCTCTCAAAAAAATTACCAAATATGTTTTATATTTTACATTAGATATTAATTTATATGTACAATGTTATATAATGATTTATATTACCGAATAGATAATTAAAAAAAAAATATGTATATATATATATATATATATATATATATATATATATATATACTGCTATTACTACATATTACTATTTCTTTCAAATTTTTTTTATCTTGAAATATTATCGTTTCTCCCTGCTCAGTGATGATTTCCAGAGTGTCCGTATTCTTTATTTTGACATGGGTACTTAACTCGACGTATTTACCCTCGAGAGACAAAGTAATGAGCCTGCAATTAGGCGCGAACGATTAAAACAAGGCCTTAATTGGCTCTAGTGAAACCTCCCAAGAGAGATTTGCGCTCTTCATCCCTCCTCGCGCTTCCATCCGCCTCATCTTCTCTCTCTTTCTTTCCCCTCGTCTTGATTCTCCTCGCTTCTTCTTACCAACCTCGTAAGCGGCTAACGTTCAGCGATAAATCATGTTAACTCACGTAAGTAGTAACTAGTAACCGATTCGCGTTTGTACGACTCTCGTGAGATATTGGCTATTACGTGGAGTTATGGCTAGGATGCGCGACCGATCTCCACCCGTTAGCTAAGAAATCGCGAAAGGTCCTAGATAGTCTCGCAAGGTTGTCGGAAATAAATTTTGCAAAATATCTGCCAAGTTATGTTTTTAAGAAAAGCGACCGAGTTATAATATAGAATAACAAATATCTCTTATATTTAATAATATCGACGAATTTTTAACAAAGATCTAACGAGGAAATCATTAACAAAGCATAATGACAGACTATCATTTTTATAAAAAATAAATTTCTTATAAAATATGGAAAAATTATAGTTCTTTAATAACTTAATAAATACATAAGACCATTTGATTGCTAAAAAGTACGTTGAGTATGTTGATTTAAAAGAGACTTCTCTGTCGGTTCTGCATTTATTTTTCTGCAATGTAATATCAACGAGCTAGTGCTTTAATACTTCTTGCATACAAGTTATTAAATAACTAATAAATAACTAATTTTTCCCATATTTTATACACGATGAAAATTATGCTAACGATTACTTTGTTAGATTTTCGTTAAAAACTCGTCGGTATTAACAAAATTTATTTCGATATTGATATATTGTAACATCGAAATAAATTTTGTTCATTATTTGGACTTTCAATATTGTTTTTCTTTTACAAGCATGTCTGGTCATTAATCAACGGCTAGACATGTCAAGCAGATTCATGCAAATATTTTCGAGCAAATGTCTATAATAATCTCGAAATTTCCGGTTAGATTCTTTCTCTTCGCGTTTTTTACATAAAATTGT